TCTTTTTACTTCAAAGATTCTAGTGAGGTTTGAAGTGTTACCATAGACCTTTTGTAGAGTATCCCAAAGCTCTTTTGCTGTCCCACAGTGAGAGTAAGCCTCCATAATTGGCGTGTCAAGTGAGCCTTGCAGGATGGATAGCACCATGAGATCTTCTTGTTCCCATTTGCCTTCATCCTTCCCTACAACCTCCTTGCCGCCAGCTCCTTGGTTGGTTTGCTTTGGAGCCTCACTTGTAGTGACATGACCCCATAAGCCTCTTCCTCCAAGTGCGGTCCTAGCCAATCTTGACCAGGTAATGTAGTTAGCTCCCTTTAGGGTAGCTGGAATCATGATAGTTTTATATTGTTGATGCTCCATCTTCTCCATCTTCTTCTTGCTATTGTCCAGCAGGTAAAGAGTGAAAAACGAGAGTAAATGTGTGTTGATACTCTGATGAGTGGAGAAGACTGAAGAGAAGCACCCAAACAAGATCAAGAACACACTTTGGTTGGTTTATTAACCACTGGTCCAAAGGGTGAAGCNTCTAGCACATAAAGGTCTCCTTTGCTCACACCTTTTCCAATCATCTTTCTTGTCTCAATATCCTGAAACTGAACTTCATTAGGACTAAAAATAACATGACAATTAAGATCAGTAGTGGCCTTTTTAACTGAGAGCAAGTTAGATGTAAAGGAAGGCATATAAAGAGCTTTAGATTCTTTATTAAACAAGTTTAAATCTCTTATGCCCTGAATAGGTATTTGATCTCCATTTGCAATTTTTACACTTCCTAAAGCAGGTTGGACATTACTAATCAGTTTAGCATCTCTAATCATATGGTGAGAAGCTCCTGAATCAATAATTAAAAGCCTAGCTAAAGGTGCATTGTAATTAGAGATTAAAGCATTATAGATATCACTTTTAGTGTTACCAGAGTTTGAGTTGAGGGCCTTGATCAGAGCCTCAATGTCTGACTTGCGTATGAAGGCATCCTCTTGGTGACGGTTAGCGCTTGTTCCAGCAATATTTGCAGTTGCACTCATAGCTTTCCCATCACTTGACTGCTGCGGGTATGGAGCTGTCTGTTGTTTGTTTTGGT